AATGAATTAGACTAGTGTTTATGTATGTGAAGAAAAAAAGTCATTTTCTTTCTACAAAAAGAATGAATATATATTTAGTTGGGCTTTGTTACTACAGTATAAATTATTTTTCAGATTTTGTGGGGTGTAATTGAAGGGGGTGGGGGGTGTTCGGGTCGGGGCGGGGTGGGGAAGTTTTTTGGAGAGTTAGGGGGATAGAATCCGTCAATTTTACGAACGAAACACCGAAGCGCCCTCAAGTCATCTGATAACATTGCGGGACAATATCATGAGAACTGCCCCTAAGGAGTAACATGCTTATTAACTTTCTTTTACATCTATTTCACTTGAACATTTTTTTAAAGCCTTGTTATTGTGCCATTACGGATTACACCCACTATGGGTTAAGGTTATTCTCATCGACAACAATTGATACGGATATTTAATGTTGTTCTTAGTAGAAGCTAAGCATGTTGGTATAGTGGCGAAAAAGCGACTCAAAGCTTCTCTACCTTTAATGTTCGAGCCTCACTCTAGCACTCAAAATATTGAGATCGAAAAATACTACACTTATGAATTTGAAATCTACCTTAAAAAATTCACAGAATGTATCACTTACTAGGTGCCATTTATAGAACCGCTAATGGGGAGATAAGGGGAATAAGTTATGTGACGTAGAAGAGCGGTTAAAAAGAGTAGGGAAATGTGAGAAGTGTGGTTAGAGAAGCATAACATGCTCATCAAGAGAACATTTAATTGGTTCAAGAAAAATTATTGTTTTTTCTTTTTTTGTTACTAGGACCGTTACTTACTATGACCATCTTTTTATCCATTACCAATGCCTCATTCAGTTATAAAATATTTCTAAAAAACTGATAATTGAAAATTAAATTTGGTTTATATACAAATTGTTAAGGATGACAAATCATGTTAGGTGCTGTTGGGAATTTGATTAAATATTCAAAAAGAAAGAAAAAGAAGAAAAAATGGGTGACGTGCAATGTATTTTATTTTCTCTTATAGCAAATTTATTAGGGTAAATAATTGTGCTTCTCTTTGCCCTATAAAATGGAAAAGCTACGGAGTATTTGAGCTTGTGTGTGTCTTACACACCACCTAGAGAGAGAAACATGGGGATCTTCTACACAAGAATACTACCGTAAAAATTCGAGGGGTCCTTGTGATTGTGAGTGAATGTAGGAAGTAACTAGTATTTAGTTATTTAAAAAAATAAATCTGAGCATAGGATGTGGAAAAATTTGTTTATAAGTGTCTCGTGTTTAGCCTTATAAACAGAGGTATAGTTTTTTTATATATTATCCTGTAATACTGGAAACATAATTTTTCACACATAATTTTGTATTTGTTCTTTCGTTTTTTCTAGAGTTCTTAATACTTGCAACGTCTTACGCGCTTAAAATCCCAACAGGTACCATTTCGTATTCATTACTTTGTTTTGTTACCGTTGGTTGGACTACTTGAGAGTTGAGACACGTTTTTTAATTATTTTTCGTTCAATGTGCCAACAAAATAATGCACAGAACAAAAAAAACAAAAATAAATAAAAAAAACGTTATGGTAATACCTAATACGTAGTAAAAATGGAATTAAATGATAACTTGTTTTTTATTGAAACAAATAGTGAAATAGTCGAACTTCTCCCCTGGCTTGAGTGGTAGCAAGCCCACTCCCCAGGATTCATGGGGAAGTTCACCCAGGTTCGAGCCCCAGCGAAGGCAGCAGCATTGGCTCTTTGTGCGTCATTAGTCATTAGCTTGAGAATAGTATGAACAGATACTACCTTGTAATAGAGTCAATAGAATCAGATGAGATAAAATGAGATTAGAATTTATTTTAATTAGATAAGCTAAGTAGAATAATCCAAAAATAATTACAATCACATGGTGAAAGTACCACTACCGTTAGTTGGAAGATGAGCTGGGAGACCATAGTGAGATTTCCAAAGATATACTCCGTAGAATAATACTGGGTGGCAATTGACTTGCGAATTTGGAAAAAGGCTTGAAGTGGGCGCGGGAACATGAGGGGGGTCAGCCGGGCGGTGGAGCGGCGGGTCCTCAGCCTCTTACACGGCCAGGAGACCCGAACCCGGCTGAACGAAATCCACGCCCACATCCTGCGCCACCGCCTCCACCATTCCAACCAAGTCGTCTCCCACTTCGTCTCCGTCTGTGGGTCCCAGAACAAGATGGACCGCGCGACCACCATTTTCCACCACTTCCCCTACCCCAACATCTTCCTCTTCAACTCCATGATCAAGGGCTTCTCCCTCCGCGGCCCATTTCTCAGCTCCGTCGCTCTGTTTTCCGACATGAAGAGTCGCGGAATCTGGGCGGACGAATTCACCCTCGCCCCATTACTCAAAGCCTGTACCGACCTCCACGGCGGTCTCCGCCTGGGGCAGGCGGTCCACAAAGAGGCCCTTGTCCTCGGATTCCACAGGTTCAACTCGATTTGCATTGGGGTCGTGGAGCTGTACTCGGGCAACGGGAGAATGGTGGATGCGCACAGGGTGTTCGACGAAATGCGCCAGAGAGATGTGATTGTTTGGAATTTGATGATTCGAGGGTATTTCCACTGCGGGAATTTGGTGATGGGGATGAGCCTCTTTAGGCAAATGGAGGAGAGGAGCGTTGTTTCTTGGAACCTGATGATTTCGTGCTTGGCACGAAGTGGGATGGATGGGCATGCTTTGGAGCTCTTCTGTGAGATGATCAATAATGGGTTTGAACCTGATGAAGCTACTGTGGTCACAACACTGCCGATTTGCACCCGACTAGGAGAAGTTGAAATTGGGAGCTGGATTCATTCTATTGCAGACTCTAAAGGTCTCATTGCAGATCATGTGACAGTGGGAAACGCATTGGTTGACTTTTACTGCAAATGCGGGGATTCTGAGCCAGCCTCTCTGTTATTCAAGAACATGTCCGGAAAGAATGTCATTTCTTGGAATGCCATGATCTCCGGTTTGGCCTTCAACGGGAAGGCCAAACTTGGGATTCAACTGTTCGACACCATGATACGCGAAGGCGTGTGCCCAAATGAGTCGACTTTTGTTGGGGTTTTAGCATGTTGCTCCCACACCGGTTTTGTCCAAAGAGGTCAAGACTTGTTTGCTTCAATGATGGAAGATTACCGTATCGACCCTACATTGGAGCACTACGGGTGCATGGTTGATCTCTTGAGCCGGAACGGACATGTGGAGGAGGCCTATGAGCTGATGAAATCCATGCCATTCAAGCCAAACGCGGCGCTATGGGGTTCTTTGCTCAGTGCTCTTCGCTCCCGCGGCGATACAGTACGTGCTGAATGTGTTGCCAAGGAACTCATCAGTCTTGAGCCATGGAACTCAGGTAACTATGTGCTGTTGTCCAATGTTTATGCAGACCAAGGAAAATGGGAAGAAGTTGAGAAGGTGAGGAAGTTGATGAAGGGAAGTGAGATTAAGAAAGGTCCCGGACAAAGCATAGTGATTTAGTTCTGTCTTGGTGTAGATTTGAAATATGTGCAAGGACGACCATGTACAAATCTCACCCCCTAATTACAAAGTTTAAGATTAAAGCTCAATTTTCCCTTTCGGCCGGGCCGGTCTTACGGGCCGGGCCCATGATGAACTCAACCTTTTTAATTCGGAGGTGGGGTGAGATTGTGAGATTGTGAGAATGTGCAAGATTTTTTAAAAAATAAGATTTTAATTTACAAATTGTATAAAATTTTATACGGGGTAGATAAGAAGAAGTAATGTGAATGAATATTTATTTGGGTTTATACATAAATACATGGGAGGAAGGGACAGGAGGGGATACTTTTTATTTTTCTTGGTCTTGTTTCCGTTCTGTACACTAGTATCTCCAAAAATTCAGCGTTGAGATTAGTTTGAAAGTCTGTTAAAATACTTCTGCTAGATTTAAAGTCCCACTCTACGACAACTGTTGACACCAACATATACAACATACATTTGTCTGGCTAGCATTTTCATTATTGGGAACATGTGCTCATTCTCCTTCCACCAATCGAGCGTGTTGAATTCCCTTACGTTTTCTTCGTCGTAGTCACATGAGATGCCTTCGTTCACCGAAAATTCAATGGGTGAACTTGGCATTGTAGATGTGGAGACAATCTTTTTCTTTTTCGACAAGATGTTACTAACTCCTTTTAAACGTCCTTCCCTCTCAGATCTTGATGTAGAACGAGATTGATTCTCGCAAATCTTCGGAGGGTTTCTCTACAAAGCATGAAATTCATTATATAAAGATTCAAATAATAGATTAGCGCTACTTCTTTCAATCTTCAAATCAAATTTTTAAAAATAATCATTTCTACTCATTAAATAACTATAATGGTGGCTCATAAGTATTTTTTAAAATTTTCCATTTTGCAACGGGGATCACAAATAGTAGTGTTTTTAAATATTAGATATGACAGCCCCTTTTAACACGAATATTTTTTTGAAATTAGTTCCAGAACTGGACCACTCACGGTACTAGTCAGTTATGTTGCCCACACAACACACCCTACCGTTATTTTGATCAAGGCCGCCCATCTGATTCCAATCACAATTTTGATTCAACTTTTGGTTTGAAATTGGAACAACTTTCAAGTCTAGTTCATTTATGGTGGGCACAGGCTGGAACGATCCAGACTTGTAGTTGTCCCTGTCCCAATCATGTTTTATAAAAACAGGTCGAAATGGTCTCTTACATTGTCCTACTTTGTCCCTTTCATTTTGGGATCGGGATAATTCAGAACGGTTTGGAATGTCTCAATTCAAATATTTTGTAAAATGTAAACATAACAATTTAGGATATGCTAACCCTAAAGATTAATTTGAAAACTTTATGCAAACATATTTAGTAAAATCTCAATAAAAGTGCAATAAAAAGAAAATAAAACATTTAAAGAAAATAATATTTTAGTTTATACATGTTATGCAACTGGATAAAAAAAGTAATATGAATGAATATTTAAGTTTATACGTAAATACATGCAACAACGGTACACAACAAGGTACTTTTTATTTGTTCAAATCCGGTTCCATTGTAAATGATTCATGATATCATTGATATGTTCGTGATAATATTTTATACTTCCAAATAAAACGAGATATTATAGAGATGAAATGAAATACTCCGTAATTCATAAAAGAGACAACCAAATGAAATTCTTGCCCACCCCTAACTTTATCCAAAAGGAAATTGGGTCTCCGTCTCCAAAAACAGTCGCATCCTTCTCCACCAAACAAACAGAAGGGGCAGAATGAGCTCCTCATTATCTTCCTTCTTCTTCTCCTCCTCATCCGCCCCTTCCCAATCGCACTCCATTCTCCTAGCTCCAAAACCCTCCGTATTCCTCCTCAAACCCCAGCAGTCCAGTCTCACTTACTTCACCAGACGTCTGAATCTCAAGCTCCGGCCCATTAACTTCCCATCTCCGCGAATTCGAGCCATTGCCGATGTCGCGTCCGCCCCCTTCAGGCCTGGTGCCGCCGTCGAGAGCGATAAGTTTCCATCTGATGTTCGGAAGCGGGCAATGGACGCAATTGATTTCTTCGGGGGAAGAGTCACTGCAGGGGATGTTGCCAGTAAGGCTGGACTTCAGTTGAACGAGTCCCAAAAGGTTTTGCAAGCTCTTGCGACGGATACTAATGGCTTCTTGGAGGTAGAATTTGTTTCCCAGTTTTTGTAATGCCAACATTTTCCTAAACTGACTATGTTATTACGCTAAATCAATTTAGGTAAAGAGTAATTGTCATTAGTAGTATTTAGAATAGAAAACTTAGTCCCGCATATAAAAAAAAGGCTTGAGTATAAGTGCTTAATAATTTCATTTATATGAGCATTTTGGGAGGTGCCCAAAACAAATCCGCCAGCTTAGCCTAAAGCTTAAAAAACTCTATTGAATGATTTTTGATCTTTCATTTATCAGTATCTCACTTGGGGGAGGAGTAATAGTATTTCTTGGATGGAATTATTCATTTTAAGTGTACTCAACTGCTCATGTATGAATAGATAGTAGGGTGATAAATTAATGATTTTTTTTACCCAGACTTGCCAAGCTACATGAAACCTATTTTTGGAAGTCCATAAAAAATTATTGCCAATTGACTGATATGCAGGGTTAGGGTGACAGCCGGACTAAGTATTATCTTACATAGTAACAAAAATTGAACTCCCTTAGCCAAGGTCTCCACCCAAATGGAAATGGCCATTCTCTACACGTTTACAGACCTGCTCTGGTGTATATAAAAAGTGATCTGGAAGGGCACACATTCTTTGAAATGATACTGTTATGTGAGAAACATGTATGTGGTGCCTCAATGTGATGCCCTACCTTCACATATCAACTGGTTCTATGGTAATAATGTAGCTTTCACACCATCATTTCTAAGACGTGATGCTCCCACATTTCAAGACTTGAAAGGGAACATTCTAAAACAGGAGTGCACATTTGGAAGTGTGAACACAGACTCTAGAGGAATGGTGTATTTTACTGAGAATATAGTGGCACACATTTGATACACAACAAATAGCGACACTCCAAATGTTGTGTCATTTACCAGATGCGTGGCCAAATTTCTTATGCATAAGGGGCATAACTGAGACATGGGTGATTGCATGCAGTTGAAGGATAACAGCAGTCAAGACTTTAGAAGATTGGCAAGATATATTCAGAATAAAATCAAGTATTGAAGGGTAAAAGAAAGAACACAAAAATACACTTGAATGAAAGGGGCAAGTTCTTCAAGAACTGCTGATGAAGAATGAATATGTGGCATAAAGATTTATTCAGACAGTAGCGACAATGACGGGGATTATTGCAGGCTTGGCTTCCGCCGCCATTTTCACTTTGCACTGGAATAAAGCGACCCTGTAATTTGTGAAGTTTCTAGATTTCCGTGGGTTGTTATGGTTTGTATATGGTCAAGTACGGTTGTAGCAGTCTAGGTCATTGGGTTGGGTAATTTCTTTTTGGGATTAATTTTTTTATCATTTTTGTATTTTTATCTGCTTTTAATTAGTACTCTATAATATTAGTTTTTTTGTAGGTTTAGTTGTATCATTGATTTAATTTTTATATCTTCTAGCTATTTTAATGAATAATGTAGCTTCATTGCTTTAAAAAAGAGTACAATCACACAAACACACACGCACGCGCGCGCACACACACATAAATTTTAATATTATTTTCATTATTTAATCACAACACGTCTTTGTCTTGGCCAAGTTCTAGTTTTTTAGAATTTTTGTGTCCCTAATATCCAGTCATACACTCATACCATGTCCACATACTTCCTAGGGTGCACATACATCATTACTTCAGCGTTTAGCTTTAACATTACTCTTTTGAAAAGATCATCTAAAATCAGTGTTTACCTTGAGTGTTTTTAAAATCAATCTCTGCCATTAAAAATCATTAAAAAATGCTATTGAAAACGGTGTTCCCAAACAGACACTATAAAGATGTTTTGTGATGCTAAGGAGTTAAAAATTAGATTCTAATTAGGATCATCCTGCTACTGGTCCAACCAAATTCTGTTGCTTTATATAGGAATCAGGAAATAAGATCAAAAGCATGTTCACTTTGAGACACATTATCAAACCTCTTTGAAGGATCATATTCTATAATCAGATGTCAGAGTGGAAATGCATCTTGAAGAGTTCAAGTTTGAGAATGAGTTGGTAGCTAAATTGGTCAAAGGGTGTATATGGATTCACTCTGTGAAGGAGCTATAAGTCGTAAGTGTTTTTTAGGAAATGTGAAATGTGAAATGTGAAGTTTAAGGTTAAATCTTCTGTGATCATATGCAACAATGTAGAGAAAAGTAAAGTTCCCCAGGCTGGTTTCATTTACAATTAGGTCCATTAGAGCAAATAGGGAATAATTACAAAGCAACAATTCTCTATTTTCATGGGGTGCATTTTCATTGAAACTTTATATGTTCATTTTTTCACTATTTTAAAAGGGGTATTGAAAAATTTATCTCTTTTTGAATGAGTTTAACAGGAGATGGAGATGAAAAACAAACTAATGTGAAAATATTTCTGGAAATGAAAATGAGAAACAAATAAACGGGAAACATTGTTGGAACATTGAGAAACTCAAAGTTGAGACTTTGAGAAACACGCGAGAATTTTGAGTTATATTCTTTACCATAGAAAATGGGGGTTTGAGCACACAAATTTTGGTTTGGGTGTAATGCATTGGAGACATGCTCAAAATTTTAAGAAGTTGCTATTGAATACCTCTTGGATCTTTTTTGGGGTGACTTCCATAATTTATACATTTAAAAAAATTAAATTTGCTTCATTTATTTTAAAACTTTCAAGATGGATATTACAGGTGTCCGATGAAGGAGATGTCCTCTATGTCTTTCCCAAGAGTTATCGATCAAATCTTGCTGCTAAATCGTTTAAGATGAAGATTGAACCACTTTTAGAGAAAACAAAGGTGCATATACAGCTGTGACCCTACATCGTGATATTATTTCTAGCAAGTCTTGTTCTCTTACAAAGTGCTTAATGCTGCACACCCTTTGGCTGCAGATGACAGCAGAATACCTACTCAGAGTTTCATTTGGAACTGCTCTAGTAGCTTCAATAGTTATTGTTTATTTTACAATTATCACTCTTGCTCTCTCAAGTAAAAGGTATCAGTTGAAATTAAGTTCTCCAACACTTTGACTTCCTTCTTTCTGTTTAACAATCACGTCTATGTAAGTTTTACCTACAGTGAACTGTATTGCCATTTAAAATTTTTCTTCTCGTGTTACAGTGAAGACAATCGTGAAAGAAGAAGCAGATCTTATGATATGAATTTCACAGTTAACTTGATGCCAAGGGATTTATTTTGGTAACACTACAATTACATGTATACAACCTTTTTTTTGTAGTGGAAGCCCTAAGATATCTTGTTTTTCTCATTGTTAAACTTCATGAAAGAGTCTATTTGTGTCATTGTGTGATCTTTCTCTTTTATATTTGAATATTCCTTGTAGTTATTTTGAATTTTCATTTCTTCAATGAAGAATGCCAAATGCCACCATGTATTTAAGTTGGAAGAAAAGAGATATGTGCTTGTCACAAGTGATAATTTGGAGGACCTGTATATGTTCCTTCTTTACTTTGTTTCTCCAATATCTTAGTTTATTCTATTTATTGCATTTATGTGAGACTTATGTGGGTCAAGCAATATAAGGTTGCTTTCATGCACAGTGAAGCAGCTCTCTTTGTTGAATAAGTGTAAAGGAACATTTTGGTTTTACAAACTCGACCCTTGTTGTGCCTTTGTTACTTTTAAAGTACTGAGTATTGATATGACTGGAATAGACTTTGTTCACATGTGGTTCTCTGTCATTGCCTTTAGGTATTGGGATCCATATTACAACAGGAGACAACAAGTGCATGATGATGCTGACAGGATGAACTTCATTGAATCTGTAAACAGAAAATATAAACTTCTTGAATATGCTACTGTTTGAATAATATGATGAAACAATGTGAGCGCCCATGCTTGTTTTGCAGCTTTTCTCTTTTGTGTTTGGTGATGGGGATCCAAATCAAGGTATTGAAGAAAAGAGGTGGAAGTTGGTAATAATTGAGCACTGAATTTAGTGGTCCGTTGCTTTTAATGAGTTTTATTTTCATTGTACTGCTTATATCTGCATTTCCATCATCATTGCTTTATTGACCATCCTATGTATCTTGTTATGAAACCTCTTTTTTTGGTTGGTTTCATAACTAATCCCACCTCCAGCCATGTAGACCCCTGTGGATGGGGGGGGGGATGATGGAGTGATTATTTTTTTCAGTGCAGTCATTAGTCTGTATTAAAAATTGGTTTCTGCATGATACTCCATATATCTTAAGCACAATGCGAATATTGCATGTTTTCCTTTTAAGTGTTATGAAGTGTAAAAAAGTTATGGTTATATGAAGAATTCTATGAAGTCTGGCCGTCTGGGTGCCTTCCAGATGTAGATAATTTTTTTTCCCAACAGTCTCACCTCTAACGTTAGGTAGTGATGGTCAAAGCTTTTTGGTGGATTGCAGTAGTTATAGGCTTATAATAGTGGAAGCGGAGTTGGGCAACAACAATACGTGTGATGGGAGGGTTTGCATGATAATAGTTGGCGGTCTTGATGGTACTCTAGGATTGGAGTTGCAGGCTAGTAGAGTTGTAGTAATGGTCTAATGAGAGTGAGGGTTGAAGGGTTCTTATTTTGTGCATTCTTTGAACTTATTCAAAGATTTTCCATTTCTCTGAAATGACTCTTAAATTTCCACATATTGTGATGTGAACCCATTCAAAGTACCCTACTTGCTATTTAGCACAACACCTATACTCAATACTACCTAACTCACACAAATTGAGTGAGGAAATGATTTTAGTAAAACAAGAGTGAAGGCACTTTCATGTGGGCACAATTCAAATTAAATTGTCAAGGCCTACCATTGAGATCAAGATAAAGGAATAAGCTTCCATGAGATCCTAGCTCAAGAGTACCAGAACAACTGTTGATGACCTCCGTGCTTGAAACGTGAAACATAAAAGTTTATTCATGAGAAAGGTGCTGAAATGTTAAAAGATCAAAAGTGTTTACAAGAGTATATAGTAAATCCTAACCGTATAAAGAAAACTTAACTCTTGACTAATTAATGACTAAATCCTAACTTGACCAGGGAAAAAATAATTAATTCTAGATAATTCAATTTATGAAATTAAATATAATTATCATAAATAGGGCCTAGCCTCCTAATCAACATAGGTAATTCCTTTCTCTTGGAAATTTCAATCCTGGACTTCTAATCACTTATGGATGTTTGTCGCTTCTTGTTCTTGATTAAATTTTGAAGTTGGATAACCACAAACTATGTGTTTACGCTTTAAAAATATTTAATATTGTACTACATTGAAAAGTAGAGGAAAATAAGTGTTAACATTGCTTGGATCGTCTAGGTAAATGTTTGGTTCAGTCTTTTTAGTCATCTTAACTTTGAACTGTACATGTTGGCATTTTTTCAGATTGGCCAATATATATCATCAAATGGTGGTGTTGTCACTGCTGAAGAACTCGTTCCCTATCTTGATATTGAGAGCAGTAGTAAAACGGTATATTGCTGGGCTTGACCTTCTATATTGTGTTAGTGCTTAATAATTTTTAAAAAATCCAATAATAAAATTCACCTTAGTGTTTAGGCGTCAACAAGTTTTTTTTATATTTTTTAACTTATGTGAGGCTATCTTGTTTGGAGAAACTCACTTCATTCTAGGTCACCCACCTACAAGTTTGGTGGGAAGATGCACGTTTCCCCCTTCCCTCTCAGCATCTCTCCCCTTTTCCCCTAACAATTGAAGTCATTGTTGATTGCTTGTTAGTTTGCTATGCCAAAGTTTAGTTACTTAAGAATTTTTAGTTTTCTGGTGTTTAATTTGATAGATTTAAACACTAATTCAGGCATTGGCATTTTATTGCCTTTATCTTTTCTATTTGGTTTACTTGCGCTGAACTAATAATTTTTATTTGTCTGTAGGATGATGAGTCGTACATATTACCTGTTCTTTTACGGTTTGATGGTCTGCCAGAAATAGATGACAAGGTCTGTTATAAAATTGACTTGTATTAGTACTGATAAAAATCTTGATCTTTAGCCTTCTTTTCAAGGTCAATTTCTTAAAGGACCCCCACCCACCCACCCACCCACCCACCTGAATTGCTAAGCATTTGTTTTATCAAATATTTACAAGGGTCACCTTTTAAAGTATTTGTTTTTCAGTATGATGCTAAAGTTTTTGTTGCTTTTAGGACATGATATATTTAATGAAATGAGGAAACTTGTGATGAAAAGATAATCTATCATCACATGCTAAATATCATTGCAGTTTACTCTTTCCCTCGAATCATCTAGCTTAAAATTATAAGTTGCAAGATTTTGGCTTTCTGAACAAGAATCCAGTGGAGTATTAAAATTTATTAGCCTAGTTCATATCTGTGAAATTCAGAGATAAGTGTTGAATACTCTCTGATTAATTGCCTTTCAAATGAAGGATATACACAAATATATAGAAAGATAAAGACTATTTAGTAAAGGTATGCCATCATGGGTGCTGACCTCATGAGCATGACCTTACTATTCAAGAACCCTTTTACAGCTATACTACAACTATTTCACACGGCTATACTACAGCTATTTCACAATATCGATCACATCACATTTTCCTGGTTGATTGCAAGACAGTATTTAAGGTCAATTTCATAATTTGACTTATGGTCCAAGATATTTTTTCCAGGGAAATATTCTCTACCGATTTCCATCTCTTCAACGCACAGGTGCTCAGCAAAGTAGTAGTAGAAGGAAGGAGTATGTTGGAAGAAGACAGGCTGATTGGTTTGGAAATGAGAAATTTCTTGAAGAGAGGAGGTGGCCGTTCAGGTATTTTCTCATAAGTACATTTAGCTTTTAAAAAAACCCATTACAAATTCAATTCTTTAGTAATTAGTATTAAGAAATTGTTCTCCATGCAGCAAAACCAGCCTTTCACAGAGGGCAATGGCAATTGGTTTGGGTGGGCTTAATCTATTTGGCATCATCATCCTTGGTGCCATGTTGAAGTATTGACTCTGCCGGTTGAAATTATTTATTCTACCTTGTTTTTTGTATACATTCTAATTGACACGTTTTGTTCGTTTTCTATCTTGAAGGGATACAACAGCAAGCCAGAGTAGCTTTCTCTCTTTTGTGACTTCTATATTTCCACTACTCCAGGTATGGCTTCCTCTCTATCCCATTCTATGTTTCTGTATAATTTCTATATTACTGGACATGTGATTAGTTCACATTAACCTTTGCAGGTTTATGCATGGTCTTTTTTCACAATCCCAGCGGTTAGATGGGTTTTCATTCAAAATAGAAATGCCAAAATTGAACGGAGAAATACTACGAGGAAAAAATTTGTCAGGGCTCTTGAACGTCCTGACCTCGTTCTATGGCAAAAGGTATAATGTAAAATCAACTGCGATAATATTTACTACGTACATTTTATGACCTTGCCTTCCCTGCTTAGCACCTTATGTCATTTCAGCTTCAAATAGAACTTAAAATCCTTGGAGGATATGGGTCTCGTGATCCAAGTGCTTTTAGGTGATTTTTGGTTCATTTGTTTTGGATTCTTACTTAGAATCAGATTCTGTCAATTCTAATTCAGAATAAGCAAAGTATTGCATTTGTTTTAGAATCTGAAAAAATCAGACCTGTTTTAGAATCTGATTCGAAGAATCAGCTGCAAACTCAAAAAAAATCAGCAGATTCTATTAATTTTACCTTAAGAATCTATTTTTTAAACTACCAACCAATCTCATCCCACATTCTAGAAGCTAGAATTATTTCATTAAAAACATCTCATTCTAAAATTCAGAATCTACTTTTCAATCCAAAACGAATGTACCCTTAGAATCTTAAAGTTGTTCACTTAGCTGTTTTCAGAAGTGCTTTTTGAAAATGATTTAGAATTCAAAAGCTCCAAATTGAATATTTAATAAATTGTTTTCATAAGGATCTTGTAACCACATTTTCATTCTCAGCACTCAGCAGCATCTCTCCCTGTTGTTCAAATCCAACTTTAACCTTATTATCCTACAAACACTTCTGGTTAAAATAGGCAAAACACTGAACCCCTTTTGTTCAACAACACATTTTTCCATGACACTTGAAGTTATTTTACTCAAAGACAACTTTTTCGTAGTGAGCTCAAACATAGTATAAGTTGTCAAAAATGTTCCCTTTTTTTAAAGAAAGATACAGTTTAACTCACAAGTCACAACATTACTTCAATATAAAGCCGGTTCAGGAAATAACTCTCTTGAAAACAGGAAGACATTTCAAGAGGATGCCTTTTCTCAAAGAATCAAGGAAGAAAAATATTTTCTGGTGCTAAACATAGGAAAACCCATAAATACTTTTGTGTTCATTGTTAAGAAAAATAACTCTTAATCTCATTATAGTCCATAAGCTTATTCTGTTCAATGTATTTTTTTAAGCAACAACCTGCACACTTGTTTTAGTTACTTTCAAACAAGCGATGAATGCTAAAATGCCAATTTTCTGTTTTAGTCCCCCCCCCCATACAGTTCTTTCATATGTTGTTATTTGCAGCTTTTGAGTGCACGGGATATGGCTCAAAGGACTTTTATCGGCCAGGAGAAGATAGTTTACAGCACTGACAGAGACTTGTATGAACAAGATTATGATGCCAAACAGTGAAAACAGAGTTTCAGAGAGATCGAGAAGTCTGAATAAGAAAAAAGGTCTTATAATTTGGATTTTTTCCCGGGCGTATATGTCCTTGGAGGGGAGAGAGAGATGAACGGTCTAATCTATTGGTCAAGAAGCGAAGCTCGGATTCCTAGATTGTATTGCCCCGCCTGCCCCTCAATTGCATGCCTTGAGGTTGAATTTGTATGCATAGGTACATACCTAAAAGCAACTGGGATTGTGATGTTGATTTATCAGCTTTTATATGTATGTAGTCATTATATATGTAACTTTTACATTAATCTGAGATTCCATGGCTGGCTATTTGATCATAAATTCATAACTGTTTTTTACAAAATCTAGTATCTTGTATCTATGTTTGTTCACTGTTTGAACTACAATCTTTTGTCCTTGTTTTAATTGTGTGTTTGTTAATGAAAATGTGTGCATTGATCATTATTATGCACTCTTTGTAAACTTGAGATTTATTTTTTGTATTCAAATCACGTGGTCGATTGTGCTCATTCTGACCGATACCATTCTGCATTCCTTGAAACAGTATGCCAACTTTGAAATATATACTCGGGGTATAACAATCAAGTTCTAGAGACTAATATAATTGCTAATATAGTGTTATAAAATGGAAGAAAAATACGGAGTACTCAGAGAAATAATTAGTGCCCTGTATGGTGGTGGCAAAAACATAAAATAAAATAAAATAATGCTGCACTAGCAGTCTAGCACACATCCAAAATTACACGTGATGAAAGATTCCTCATGTCAATATTATTAATACTCTTAAGGCCTATTTTTTAGGATTTGAAAAAAAGTGTTGATGTTACAATAAACTAGAAAGAACTTGAAAAATCAAAAGGAACTGCAAAAAAATGAGTGAAAATGAGTATAATTATATTACATAAATGTGTGAAAATTGTATCAAATAAATGTGTGATAATTGTATTAAAAATGACTGAAAGAAACTGAAAGATACTATACCTGTATTAAATAAATAATTGAAAATGAGTAGTATGTTATTTCAGAATGAATATCACGCTATTTCAAAATGAATATTTATGTTGATGCGAGAATGGATACTACTTTATTTCAGAATGAGGTTATTTTGATATAAATCCATTGGTGATCGACTAAATGTCTGACGTTAAGTAAAGAGTATTTCGATAAAATCCATTTTCAAAATTTAGAATAATTTTTTAAAATGGTATTTTCTAATTGAGTGCTTTGCCCATTTTTTAAATAAACCCTTACTAAATATGGAAAAATAACTTTCATTTTTTTAGGACGAAAAAAATATAATAAATAAAATTAGAAATGTAATACTATAAATTTGAAAATTTACTTTTCAAATTGTTTAAAATTTTTTAGAAATATATCACGTACTCCGTTAGTATTTGTATTTATGTAGTCCCCCAGTTGTGAAATAAAGTCCATGTTTTGATTTACAATATTTGACTAAAGCAATTTCCAAATTAATACAACTTAAAATTGGTGTGGAATTTAAATAGTACTTTGTAAAATTTATACTCTAGGGTATATAATAAAATGTTCATTCGAAGTTCTATAAAAACCTGTGATGAAATGAATTTTTTATTGGTTAAAATGCTCGATAAAAATGTATAAATAAAGTAGATTTAAATTTACCTTGTAAATAGTAAACGCGAATCTTATTTTAGATTTTTAGCATAAGTGAAATATTACTTAGCGAGAATAATTTCATAATTATCAAACTAAATTTATAATTTATATCAAATTTGTATTTCATTTTTGGGAAATTTATTATATTTGAAACAAAAACTTATAATTTCTAGAGTGTTGATTTTTGGAAATTTTGAATTTACAAAAATAATTTATATACTCCCTCCATCCCTAAATACTAGTAGATTACAATTTTTTTTCTCTCCTCTCGATAACTTTTGTTTGTTTACGTGATTTCATTAAGTATTTGATAAAATAAAATATTCTTGTCACCTCTTGTTTTATAGAACTTTTGACGTAGTTTTTTAATATGTAATTTTTATATCTTATTGATATATCAATTTGTAAATAAAATGATTTCAAAAAGTAGGAAATTTTACTCCGTAACTCGCATTTTGTAATCAAATTGGGGACGGAGGGAGTAAGTTATTTAGTAATTCTACAATGATTTAGTCCTATCTTAGGTGATTTATACATTTGGTTTGCATAACAGATAATTGACATGTTAAAACATATTCCCTCCGTCTTAGAGTATTTGTGCACTTTCATTTTTACACATCATTCAATACACTTCTTTAATCCATTTTATCTTATAATTTGTATATTAAAAAATTATACGGAGTAGAAATTATATATGTAGGCTTACAATTTAAGAATTACGACTCCCTTGTAGAATTTAAAAAGGACCAAGTATGTCAAGCAGTCAAACGACATCAGTTCTAATTTTTAAAAAACAGAGGGACGAGTTTTCGGCTAGGAGTTCAGTTGGTTTAGGGTTTATTCCTTCATAGTTCATTCCATCTTTCCTCTGTCCTTCCTTCACTCAATTGGTTGTTAACTGGTAAAAGTGAAGAGCACTAATGGAAGATGCCGATAACAAGAAATGCGGCGGGGTATCGGTCTCCCACGATTTCGAGGGAAAACTTTCCATGGAAGCTAAGCTTAAGCAACTCCTCCGAAACATAACCTCAGTGGAGAATCAGCTTTGTTTTGAAGCTTCAAAGGAGTTCATCAAGTTGCTAAAATCTGAATCTGGTTCGGAATTCATTCGTTTGTACCTTGAAAACTCTCCTAAGTGTATTGAGCTCTCGCAGACCTGGGACTCTCAGAAAGGCAATCCTGGATTTTCGTATGTACTCAATCTGATTGCAGCTGTTCTTAGCCACCCTTTCGGAAGATCCGAAAACAATATGCAGTTGTTGGATAAGTTTGCGCGTTGGGTTGTGGATGAGAAAATGGATGATTTGTACAAGGAGTTGAACAGTAAAGATGTGAAGAGCCAGAATTCGACATTGTCTTTGTTATCTGCAATTGTGAGGCGCGGTTCGTGGTTAGCCGGGAAGGTGGCAAAAGTATTCGATTTTAGTCTTCCACTTTTTCGGAAGCCAGCCAAGTGGAAACCAAGGAAAGGTGATGTGAACAGGAAACATCCTTCAACTAGGAAGGCTTTTGTAGAGTTTGCCATGTCCTTCTTGGAAGTGGGCAATGCCAGGTTGTTGAGGGAAGTGTTGCAACAGAAGGATTTGTATTTGGGGGTGCTTCGCGGGCTAGGAAAAGATGAAGACGATACAGTGATTCTTGTGCTATCAGTTTTGCGTGATCGTGTTCTGGTTCCCGAGTCATTGGTGCCCCCTGGACTTAGGAGTGTACTTTTTGGTACTGTGACTTTGGAGCAACTGGTTAACATTTCTGGTAGAGATGATGAAGGGGAAGCTGTGGAGCTAGCTCACAGTGTCTTGCTAATGGTTTGTACAGACCCTTTGAATGGGTTGATGCCAGATCTGGAGAGGATTCCTAGTCCTTTAAGAGGCAATCCAGGACGGCTATTGGATGTCATGAAGAAGCTGAGAGCTACAGAAACAGAGTACCACAGAAACCTTCTACTGTCCATTGTAAAAGCAAAGCCATCTTTAGGCTCAGCATACTTGGATGCATTCCCTTATAACACTGAAGATCCTGCATCACCTAACTGGTTAGCTTAAATTGCTATCAGAATTGGTTTTGCCCATTTTGTTTGTGCTTGATATTTTTTTTTTGCAGGTTTGGTACCACTGTGTTGGCTGCAGATCTCATTTTCTCTGTCCATGATGGCTATTCTTTTGGTTTTATTGATATTATGAAGCAAGAACCAAAAAGTATTGAGTGTCCAGAACTCCGAAGTATTCTAAAATGCATTTGCCCGTCTCCATTTACTCGTCTGATTATCAACAAAGGCTTGCTTCATTCTGATACCCTCGTGAAACACGGAACTTTGAAGCTTGTATTGGAGTCACTTAGGTTTTTTGACTCTCTAATTGATGCATTAAACTGCATACCCTCTTCTGATATCCAAATGGCACCTATGTGTTCTTCTCTCAAGCTAGATATAGTGAATGAAGTCAGGATTTTGCTTCCCGACCCCCAAGTTTTGTTCTCATTATTGTCTTCACTTAATGACTACCATAGAATCATGGAATCACATGTGAAAAGAGCAGCAGATTCAGAAATTTCAATTGAAGATGATACAAGTAGCAGGAAAAAGTTGAAAATTGATAAAAGTTTGAAAGAAGATATTGATATTATAGTCGGTGGGATTAGTTCTTTCCATTCTGATACAGATATGCAAGGTTATGGTGAAGGAATCCTTGATGATGATGAATCAGTTCAATGTAAAAATGAATCTCAAAATTTAAAGCTTATAAGAGAACTTTGGTCTGAGAACTCGTGTTCTTGTAAGGACACAGTTGAAGATGCAGAAACAATCTTCTACACGAAGTTGCTTGATGTTCTGAAACAATACTATGTAAGTTCTGAACCCTTGATTGATAATTGCACAAGTCCCTTGAGGATGTGTAAAACTTTTAATTGCTTCTCAGCTTAAATAGCTAATGCTGCAAATCGCTTCCAACTTTATTACTCTACCAGCCTGGATCCAACCATAAATGTACACGGGAAATGATTTGTTTGATGTCTCTACACATTAGCTTTATTATATGAAAAGGAAACTTTCCACATGTTCAGAAGGCACTAGATGACTAGACATTCTTCACTCCACAGAAAATCCTTGGCAACATTTTGTTTTAGAAAAATATTGAAAAAATAAAGAATGCAGGAAGATCCAAAAAGTAACCACAAATGAGTGAAAATAATCTAGATGCATAGAAGTTTTGAAATAGCTACTCAGCACCCTGAGCTACACATAAAATCTTCCTCCCCCCACCCCCTTCAAACCGACGCACCAAACCACCAAGATAGGGAGGATTCCTCCCATGTGTATTGCTTTCCTTAAAAAAACTCTTCTTCTTTTGGCAGCGCACTATGCCCAATATGATGGAAGGGTCATTTGATTTCTTCAAACTTCTTCCGAGCAATCCCTTGGCATTGCCCATTATCTTGCAGCATTCTTTGTTATCTTTGTTAACTGAGGATATTGGTTGGTCCTCCACATCTGAGACCGCCTCCAGAGCTCAAACACAGTTCTACAAGCATCTACTTCCACTTCTAAATTTATTAATTTATTCACCAGAGAGAAGCATCAAGGATCACGCATACGCTCTGGCAAAGGCAGCCATGTTAAGTACGGGTGCATTTGATAACAACCCAAGGGAAGTATGTGCATGGTTCATGTTTATTCCTGGATACGGTGAAGGCTATGCTCTCGCTGGAGACTTGAAGCTAGAAATATTCAGAAAATTGTCCTCTGGTGTTCTTTCCTTCCTTTGTGATGCAGTCTCAACAGTTGGTAATAATATGTTTAAATATATGGATCTCTTGAGGTCTTATATCCACAAATCAGAAGAGGGTAAAGGTATTTGGAAGTTTTATGTCATTACTTGTATACAATGCGTGTCTGTGCGGAACATTCTCACTTCTCTAATATGTTGACATTTTATTATGTTGTCTGCAGATGTATCAGCTACATTCAGCTGCTTCAGTATCTGTATCATGGAGAAGTGCCTAAGGATACTATGTTCTAAACCAAGTTCCTTTTCTTTGTCTGAGAAGTCAATGATTTCCTTCTATGTTTGCAATGCATTTAAGTATATCATGCAAACTCAGGTGACACACGATCATCTATTAATTTATAAAATATTTCATCGTTTCTATATTAGTGAAGTGATGATTTATATGCTTATCATCTTGGCACCCAATAATTGATCTATGTCAGGTTGATCCAAGATTGTTGGCTTCCCTCACAGGTCGTTTGCTTTCTGAAAGACTCACAGAGTCTTACGACATTGCTGCTGACTCCAACAGTTTCTGTGAGTGGACGCCATTGAAGAAATTATTCCAATTTTCGAGGGGCATTTTACAAGGTCTAACTTGCAATAGCTTTTCCACCATTGTGGAAATTGGGCATCATGATAGTGCTTTCAAAAGTATACTCCGTAAAGTTAGAAGTGTTTGTGAGATGGAGTCTGATGGGAGATCTGTTGCGACAGGGATTGGATTTTCCTTTTCGATGATATGCACTCAGCAGGCTGATTTACTAAAAAATTTCCCACTAACTATATCATTATCAAATAAAATGCTCAAGGTACCTTTCTCAATCTTGATGTTGATATTCTTTCTTGAACCTAATCTTCTCGTCAATGTGTCTAAAATATGGCCAGAAATGTTCCTTACTGGTCTGGAAGGTGTTATTGCTGGATTACAAAGACACGAAGAACCAGAAGAATTTGGCAACATTGATTCAATGGAGTTTGCATCTGCTTCATTCTCCCTGTTCTTGAAGCATGCACCATTTTATATGCTCTTTCCTTTTATTCCAAGCATTTATAGGTTTGATTTGTCCGCTCAGGGGGGTTTGCAAGATCTTATTCTGGCTACTCTTTCTGAGAGGACACCAGATTATATTATATCCTCATTTCTATATGTGCTACTTTGGTTGAATGAAGCACACAGATCCTATCGAATTGAGCCACGGGATGAATTAGAAAAGCTTTCTGAATGGTGCTTTTCCATTATGGATCACATGCTGAGACGATTAGTTAACACTAAAGTTGATTCAAGCTTGAAATGCACCAGGTCTCTTTTAGCAACCAAGTGTGTGTTAGAACTAATTCCAACGATCATTTCTCACCCCACTGTTACAGCTGCACTGGAGTGCCCTATACCAAGTAATGCTGTTCTTACAGATATTTATATTGGGGACAGTATGGACAAATTTGTTGAATCAAATAAGTGGAAGGTGATTCACAAAATGGATCTACATGCCATAAACTTTTTAAGAACGACATCTGAGCTCTTCATGTATTTTTGCTGTGGGCAAAGGTCTTCATTTGTAGCTTTTCATGCTAGACATGTCACACATTCTTTCAAAAATATGGTGCAAAAATTATTGTTGACATTCAGGGATTCAATTGATAAATGTATAGAAGATAAGGATTTGGCCGTGCTGTTTCCAAAGGTCTATGCGTTACACTCTTTGAGGCAATTCATCTCTCCCTTTGACCTGCTTGAATGTGTGAATTGGATGCTCTCTAGAATAGACCTTGAGGATTGCTCCTTACAGAAGTCTTTCAGAGATTCCTTCTTCTGTGTTGGATTACAATTTGCTTGTTCTGCTTTTGGTTCTCTTTCAGCTTCTTTGCGGCAGCCACATCATGAAAGATCAACATTTGAGTTGTTTTGGGGAATGCATGAAGAACAATCTCAAGTTGTGCTTCTAGAGAAAATTCTTTTGCAAGTATACAAGATTGCCACTCATCTTCATCTAGATGTTGCTAATATGTGCTTACTTCAGGCCTTTAAAATGGTGAAAACTCATGGAGTTATAATGAAGTCAAGTCTTACTTTAGTTATGGCTATATCAAGACTTATGTCATATGTTCCTGTAGACATGATTTCTTATTGTATGTTCCAAGTTACTAAGAGAAAAGCTGAAGTGCTGTTCCTTGTAGCCGAAACAAGCCCGATACATCTTTCAATATTCGGCCAACTTTTATATGGCATGTTTGAAAAACAGGCTCATCTGAAGACCAATGCAACAAGAGGAACTTCTAATCCTTCTGAGCTTGAGTTGTTGATGCTTCTTCCCACAGTATTCTTGTATTTAGATTCAGTTCTTAATAAAGCTGCGAGCAATGTAGATTATTTTGAGAATGTAGTTTCTTTCTACTGGCAGATATTGTTGCATGGTTTCTCTAATTGGAAGTGCTATGTTTCTAGAGATATGTTCGACATGGAATGTTGCGACCAACCATGCTTATCGATGGAAGAATATATGGATATTTTCTCCAGCAGCCTGTTATCAAAATCTGTTCTTATGGTGCAACTTTGTTTTGCGGTAACCAAGGATTTGGTTAAATTTGAAAATAGGTTGGAACTATTTGACTCCGTTTGCCCTAAAAAAAGTACCTGTGTTGATTTTCTGGATTTTGATCCTAGTCAAGTTGGTCTTTGTTCACCTAAGCACTTGTTGAACTTTGTAAATAAGGCTGTTGCAAAGATACACCTTTGCAGAACACTGCTATTTCCTGAACATAACAACTTCTCCTCTTTGCTGAATGAATACAAAATGGAGACTCCTGCAAGTATTCAAGCAAAGGTGAACTCATCAAGAATCTTGTTTTTGAAGAGGTTAGTCTCTTCGTGGCGAAAAATGGTAATGAAAATCCCGAGGACTGCTAATGACTCCTGTCAAACAGATGTTGAAAAGTGTTCTGTGTTCAGATTTTTGGAAGTTCTTATTTTGAGAAATGTTGTGGAACTTTCTAAAGAGATGCACAATTGCCTTATCAAGTTGGACTCTCTTCGGTTCATAGAGAAGTTTGCCGAGACAGCATTGTTGCATAGGTTTGATGATTCTACGACACTGCAGAAGCTTCGTTACATCATATCTTTGCTATTTGAAGGAAAGTTCTCATGTGATTCAATAATAAAATTGATGGTTCATGACTCCCGATTTGAACAAGCCATTTGTTCTTTAAATTTGTCAACTGGAAATTCCCAGCTTGGTCTCACATTCACTCCATTGCCAAGCCTTATGAAATCTGTTGTCACCCCTTCCATTGATAATAATTCTATTGATAGGAAAGACAACCTGCAAGTGTTTAAGCAACATCCACACATGTTGGAACTTATTAAATTGCTTAGGGTATTATTCCAGGTCATGTCCCGACAGGTAGATCACGAATCAGCAAAAGGCGTCGGTATAAATTTAAGAGATTTGGTGTTTTTGTTACTATCTTGTTACAATGCAACTCTTTGTGAGGTTGACATTGAGATTTACAACCTTTTGAATGAAATCATGTCAGTTAGTGACAGTTGTGCTCAAGGTATTGCTGAATGGGATTATCTCTGGGGCAATGCAGCTGTGCTAGTCAAGAAAGAGAGAGAACTAGCACAATCTGTTTCATGCAATCTAGGTGATGCTGAAGAGACTGTGGAATGCTGCAAAATTCAGTTTAGGAAAAACCTACCTATTGATCCCAAGATGTGTGCACATACTGTGCTTTATTTTCCGTATTGGAGAAAAAGTAGTTCAGGAATTGTGAACAATGCTCAAAAGGATTTTTCTGATTGTACAAATAAGGTATGTTTAACTATCGACTGCCTGGATTTAATACTATAAATTCAGTCGGTTTTTTCACCTGCTTCAAATTTTCAATCTTGATGTTCTCTTGCTGCAAACCATGATTCTTTTTCCCTGGCAGGATTATTCTGCAGAAGTTAAGAACAGATATATATATGATCCCATCTTCATCTTACGATTCTCATTTCACTGTCTTTCAATGAGCTATATCGAACCTGTTGAGTTCGCTAATTTAGGCCTTCTTGCCGTCTCACTTGCGAGTATATCTTCTCCCGATGATGATATAAGGAAACTAGGATATGCAGTTCTTGAAAAATTCAAGGAGGTTTTAGAGGTTTGATACTGATTTTTTTAGCATGATTGACAATGTTGCAATATTTGTGTGTGTTGATGTAATTCCTGGTTTAAACATGTTCTTACAGTATCAAGGCTTTAAGGCTGTTTCTAATTAGCAGTTACATAAGGTACCCATGCATGATTGCATGTTTGATAAGACTTAGGAGTATACTCCGTAGCTAGGATAGTGCGATTATTTTTTGTTCATGTCACAGTAAAAAGATCATAAATAGATATGTGATTAAAATATAACACAGACAGAAAAATAGAAAACAGCGTTATCTTAGACCCTTTTGTCTGGGTGAGATCTGAGAAGTTGAGATTTTAACTTTTTGCAATAATTCAATGCACATTAATCATGCTACAAAAGAACTCTACCTTAAGATTTCTCGTATCTATGCTAGTGAAAAGTTAACATTTCTGATAATTTAGTGGAATAATAGAATTGCTTTGCTGTAAAGTAATCAACCTAGCATATCTTCTTCTTTTTGCTACATTCTTTTTGTTCACCGTAAGAACGAAATTCCTGAATGAATTGATTCTTTGGACTCATGTATTTGGCTTCCTAATATATTGGGGCCTTAGACAAATGTAAAAGTATACTGAAGAAGAAATCTTACTATTTCCACATCTAGTTTATCATGAGAGAAATATAGTCCTAGTAGTATCTACTGATAGTAGAATAGTAGAGAGGATAATCAATGTGAATATCAAATTAAATAGGACAGGCAACATCAAGCTGTGAAAGACAATGGGAAACTTCCTCGTATATCAAACTAGAAGCAATTAGTGCATCTTCATGACATAATCTTCACTTGTGAGTATCTGTTGTGATCCCAGGTGGATCACTATCATGAAACTATGAAAGCATAGATACACTGATCCTTCGAACCGGGAAATATAGCACTAGTACTATGCTGGCAATTTTTTGGAGACGAATTTTTTTATGCTTTGTGGTTTATGTTGCTGGATCCAAATGAAATACTACCTCCATCCCAGTGTATCATCCAGTTTGACTTTTTCAAGTCAAAGTGACCAAAATATGATTATCAATCAAATAAAATGCATTGCATATGATACAAAAATGATTTCAATAGATTTATCTTGCAGAAAGTTTCAAAAAACTTATTCAAAGGTATAAATATAAAAGGCAATTTTATTTAATTGATAATCAAAGTTTGTAATTTGACTGAAAAACAAACCAGAGGAGTACTCTGCGACATAGGAAGTACTTGTGAAAAAATGACATCCATGCAGAAAAATTGAAAAAAATGTAGTTCCTGCAAACTTGTTATCTTAAATAGTGATCAGAGTGTAAGAATTTCTTTTAAGAACTTTTTCTTCATTTCAAGTGTAGTTCTTTTTTTTTTACCTCACAGATTGAACTTCATTATAAGTTTGTTTAAGGGTTCAAGCACGACATGAAGGAGTTTAACATGGACCTAATGAACAATTACTTGCAAGTTCAGTGTTTACTAGCATGGTTTTGAAAGTCCATGTTTTTACTGCAGAAATGTCAGAAGAGGAAGGATTTGATGGGTCTGCAACTCCTACTGTCGTATTTGCAGAATGGTGTAGAAGAAGATTGGCAGAAAATTTCCTCTGTAACTGCCATATTCATTGCAGAGGCCTCACTTGTTCTTTTGAATCGTTCCCATGATCGTTACTCAACTATAACTAAGCACCTAACACGGTCTCCCAGTATGAGTTTCAAGGTATTTTTAATAATCAAATGTGGATAATCTCAGGCATCCCACTCTCAGAAAGAATAGATTCATTTTTACCATTTATCAAACAAACAGTTGTAAGGTACAAAGTATTCCAATACCCTGGAGTAACAATTTATCTTTTCTTTCATCCTTTTTGGCTCCTGTGCCAGGGTGTACCATTGTTCCAGGATTCGTTCTGGAGTAATTCTGTTAGTTTCAGAACAGACAGGTTGTGGATACTTCATTTATTGTACTCAGGGTTGAACACAGAGGGTGATGTTCATATATACATCAGAAACTCCATTTTTGAGACCCTTCTAAGTTTCTATGTATCTCCTCTTGCTGATAATGAATCAAAAGAACTGATTATTCAGGTAGGTTATTTTGCTGCCCATGCACCTAAATGGCTAAATATAATTCGCAGTTATTGACTGCTGAGACTCTGAACTAAGAAGCATCTGTACTAATTAAAATGGCTACATTGCAGATCGTCAAGAAGTCTACCAAACTGCCTAAAATGGTGCGGCACTTAGTTGAACATTGTGGTTTGGTCTCATGGCTTTCCTCAGTTGTCACACGCTACTGCAGAATTAAATACAATGAGTGGAAAGGTTTTCAGTTCACTCATTTGGCTTTTGTCCTGGAGGTATATACCAGTGTATTTTTCCTAGAGCTGAAAACTCCCTCCACATCAGTTGTACTTGTCAAGTATTCCTTTTTGGGCCATCCCGGTGTATTTTCTTTCTTTCCATTTAAAGGAAAAAAATAAAGTAATTGACTGATTTTCCATCACCTAATACTCTAACTCCCCCATTCAAAAGTAAAATTTAGGATATAATGATCTCCTCCTCTTAATTTTTTTTCTTGGTCCATGTGCGAAAAAGAATGTGGACAAATACACCGGGAAAAAAGGAGTAATAGATACTACTTCTTTTGTCCCAAAATAAATAACACCCTTTGCATTTTGTTCCGTCCCAAAATAAAAGTCCATTTCCTTTTCTCGTAACGATCATGTGGCTGTCATTATTTCACTCTTTCATAGCAATGCCAATTGCACGCTTTTCTTAAACTCTGGTCGAAATGGGTCTTTAATTTGGGATGGAGGGAACACTTTTTTAAATATGCTAATTTAGAGAGATAAAAGGCTTAAAACAGTAGGAATATGAAAAATTAGCCCCAAACCATTATTATATGCCATTACTTGGTTTGTGTCAGTGTTATTGAATGGCGCTAGTGGCAGATTTTGTGACATCTGCTCTTGTGAGCAACTGAGCACTGGTTTTTATCCACTAATTATGTATCACATTTGCTCATATAGCTTATTAATTATATGCAATTACCTGGTTTTTGTCAGTGTTATTGAATAGTGGCTGATTTTGTGACATCTATCATTGACAGACTGGTTTGTTTTCCACTAATTATGTTTTACATTTACTCCTTTAGCTTATTTATTGTGTTTAAAGTACACTACAGTATGATGATTTCTTTATATGGTGTGTATTTTTTTAATTATTTCTTTGTTTAGGTGGTCCATGAAATTCTCTTCTTCAGACACACATTTGAGTGGCTACAAAAATATGCACTTGAACAGCTCTCTGAACTCTCTTGCCATTTGTCCCAAATCCTAGTTGAAGGTGCGGATGTGTTGAAAGAACAGAACACTCTCACCATGTTGATTCTACAGATATTAACTTTGACATGGAAGATATCACAGAAGAGAAAAGTCTTTCAACCGCATTTCACTCTCTCTGTTGAGAGCTTATTTCACTTTTGTGAAGCCATTGATGTATGTTGCAACAGATGCTATAGCCCTATTGCGAAGATTGGGCTTGAAGCTGTACTTATGAGCACTCCTCCAGTAGGAATTATACATGCGGTAGACCCCTTGATAATACTTTTATCTACAGAACTATTTACATCGGTGATATATTCTATTTTTCATGTGTTCGACACATGAATATATTCCTGGATTGATTTTCCAGTGTTAGGCGCCGGAAGGCGGGGATATTTTCCTAGAGCAGTTTTATGATTTCTATTTTATGGGTCAACTATTAAGAAACACAATTTATTCCCTAGGAAAAATGTTTCTCTTAGAACATTTTCTGCTACCTATTTTCCTGGAAAGAAACAGGTCCTTAAGTTGTTTATGCTACCTATCAAGTAGACTAGTAATTATGATGCTCCAACGTTAATTGCATCTTTACTTTATTGACACCTTTATGTTATGAATATTTACTAAGCCCTTTGAAAAATATCATATCATTCCAACTCAAAATGGCCATCTGCTATTAAAACAAAAAATTCAAAATGGCATATTGTGCCATTGGCTAATCTTGTGTTTTGTATGCATATCTTGATTGATCTTCTTTGATATTCTTTTTTATGTGTTTTCAGGACCATGAAAAGGTTTTGAAATTCCTTAACTGGGCCATATCAATTGCTGTGCAGTCGGAGACAAGTGGAACACGTCATGTTCAAGATGATTGTTGTAATCTGAAAGTATTCTCCGAGGAAGAGGGAGAAAATTCTCTCATATCAAAGCTTTTACGGTGGCTGACTGCTTCGGCGATCCTTGGGAAAATTTCATACAACTTAAAGAGATTTTATTCTCTTGACAGATCAAAACTTGTCAATTTGCAATGTTTATTGGCGTGGGACGAGGAAAGATATTTTGATAGCAATAAGGAGTTTGCATGCCAAGAGAGCATCTTAGCAATGTCAATCTTTTATTTGCAACAGTTACTAGGCACAAACTATAAATTGCTTCCATCTGTTGTTTCCGGGCTTCTTCTTCTTCTTCATCATTTGTCTTCTGCAGGTGCATTCATTTCTTCTTATACTTAGATTCAGTTTCATTACAGGAAAATAAGTAAGTTGATGTGGAAAATAATTTGCTGGGAAAATATTGTGTAAAAAATAGAAAAATTAAACTACTTCTGGAAATGACTCAATCCAACCAAACCAAAATATTTTCGTCTGGAAAATTGTTGCCAAACACAAGAAAAGCCAAAAGAATGCGGAGTATTTTTGAAAAGGTTGACGCTTTGTTTGTTTGTTGTGTTGAAAACATTAGGATCAGAGGCATTGGTTGGGGATGCAGCTCATGTGTCAGAGCTCTGCAAGAAAGTTCGTTGCCCTGTCGAAGCCAATTCTTCCTGGAGATGGTAAATGAATACTTCCACTGTCTTGTTCCTCATGGTTTTTGAGCAGTAAAGTATAAGCATGAATAAATTGGGATTATATATATACTCTATAATCTTCTTCAGGGCATTTTACCAACCGTGGAAAGATCATTCCTCCAATCTCAGGGATTCCGAAAAAGTTGAAGAAATGCATGCTTGTCAGCTGCTTCTACTTTTTGTCTCCAAGATGCTCGGAGGAAATTCATTATTTTCTGGAGTTTTTTCAATTGAAGAGGTGGAAAAGTTGGGTGTGTTTGAATGGGAAAGGAGTATTCTAACTCTCAAAGAGTGATATTTATCTATTGAAGATTACTGATCACAGTGTAATTTTTTTTAATGAGCACTGATCACAGTGTAATTTTTTTTTTGAGGGAAATCACAATGTGATTTAGTAGTATACGTTGGGCTGTTTTTTAGATCCTCTTAGCATGAATAACCATAGCATTTCCTATATAAATTGTATTCCTTCTGTTTTACAAAATAATTCTACTTTTATTTTTAAATTTTTTCACAGAACACTTTCTCTTTCCATCAAAACTTAAAATTGAACAAATATACAAGGACAGAACTAGTACAATTTGTAATTATAAAGTTTTAAAAAGTATAGTTTGTATTAGTTACTCAATGTAATATAACCTTAATGTAATTGAGTATCTTTTAAGGTGTACTTTTGATATATCAAAATTTTGTAACATCTTATTCATATTTATTAATGGTCAAAATGTATAAAAAAAATTAATCAAAGAAACTTTTTTGGGACAAAGGGAGCATTTGTTTGAGATGTATATATTCAAAGTTAACATGTGTAAAAGGCCAATTTGGAAGAAGTGGGCGGCTGACATCATGTTTTGACGAGCCTGGTATTTTCAAATTACAACGGCTGATTGTATTCAAAGGAGATATATTGAAATCCAAGAGAGGATGGCGAATGCATACCGTTTATGTCTAAAAAAATGAGGTATGCTAGTGGTACATTAAGTTTGTACTTCAACTTCATATTAAGTGTATCACATGCACACACACAATAATTATTTGTAATATTCACCGACAATTCTTATCTATATGTGTCTGTGATATACTTAGTGTGCAAGTTTGGGTACAAATATGGTACCCTTATACTACGCTTTTTTCGTAAGAAAATATAGGGTTTTGGAGCGATAGTACCATTAGGTATATAGGATTCATGAGACTACGCTAAAATCCCAATGCAGGCGGAGACATTGACTCTTTATGCGTTATTAGGTTAAAAAAGTATGAAGAGATACTACATTAAGCTATGGGGTGCCATCATCAGCATCCCACCATCCACACTTCCAACTCCACGCCACATCAGTAATTTTTTTTTACTTTAAACAATTAGTAGGGGGGCATGAGACCCCAACTACTCTAATGTACATTCGTCACTGTTTGCATCTCAACTTGCACACCAAGTGTATCACATGCACACATGGATAATAATTGTCTGTTATATTCACATACAACTCTTATCTATTTGTGTCTATGGTAAACTTTTTTTATAAGGACGTCTGTGATATACTCAGTGCGTATGTTTGGATGCAAACTTGGTATACCCGTAGTTTTTTTCGTAAGAAAATATAAGATTTTAGAGCGGTAATACCATTATGTATGTAGGATTCATGGGGATGTCTCTTTGTGTGTCATTCGAACTTCAACACAAGCAGATGTCTCTTTGTGCGTCATTAGGTTAAAAAAGTATGAAAAGATACTACATTGTAATTGGATCAATAATACGTAAAAGAGTGGGGTAGGCAGGAGTAGTATATACCAAGCGGAGTCCAATAGAACCATACCTAATAACAATATAATCCTTATTACATACGGAGTACTCATATATTTAAACGGCAACACGCTAATAATTTTTTTCACGCGACTTATTAATATGATTCAAGTGTACAACATATCAATATTCAATAATACTGTAATAGAATACTATACAACATCAAAATATTCTATATCATTTGAAGCAGACCAAATAATTATTGTGGTCAATTTTCCTATAATATATATCGGTCACTTCTTTTGAAAAAGGGTGATACCAAGGAAAGCCACCATCCGGCTGACTAAACCTGTTAGGATGAGAATGGCTAAACAAAGGCCCCAATTGTGTATATTGTATCCATATTTCTGGAGTGCCCCGCAACGCGTTATCAGCCACACACCATAGTATCTGAAGTTCATCAATAACCCCCCAAAAAAGAGTATTTAATCAGTTAACCTCATGAATGTAGACATAACGTATGTCTATTCATTCATTTTTCAATGTATCAAAAAAGTCATAAAGGACGATTAATTTGGAATGTGGAGAGTAATATTTTAGAAAAAGGGCAAAGATAGGAGCAGTAAAAAGATCAGGAAATAGGTTACAGTAATGTTATAGTGGGGGCATATCGGTAAATTCATGCACATTACTTAACCTATCTCACAACTGTCTCCTTACCCCTATCATTTAATTTGCTTAGAAAATAGCTCCCCATTCAGTCACAACTGAAGCAGATTTATGGTTTAACCACCTTTCGCTCTCACCAAACAGGTTCGATGTATTAATTTACAATGTGTGCACGTACCTTTCGGCATTTGCTATAACAAACGCTTGCAGTGCCCATTTCGGGTAGCTCAGGTCAGCTATGATGTTAAAAATCTTGGTACCCGAAGTTTGTGTTGCGACGAGAGTCAATACCACGGGCACAAGTACAGCACACTACAAGAATGGGAGAATCTATAGAGTTAGATAGTTATCCTGGATCTAGCTAGCTAGACAGGGACAAAACTGCCATTATGAAAAGTTTTCCATACCAGCTGGGAAGGCCCCGGTTCAAGAAAGATGGCGAATGCATATCCCATGCCCGTAACGCAATACACAAGGCAGAGTAAGACAACATAGTTGTCTGTGAAAGAGGACCTTGGGTTGCAGAAGAAGTAGAACATGGAGAGGTACACGGCTGGCTTGATTAGGGTATTGAAGTGATCTATTGTGTCTTTGGATACAAAATGAGCAAGACTACTCATGCCAGAAGCACTTTCTCTCCAGTATTGCAACTTGTCCAAGGAAAATGTTCTCAATGCAGCAACTTTACACAGCAAAGCTGAGGGAAAAAGAGATTAAAACAAAAATTATATAAAACATGCATTCAGATTATCATTGATTATGGAACTTTTGGATCAAGTGTCAATGTTGTTCTTTTTCAACTTACAGACAGCAATTATTGTGTGCACATAACCAGGGTAACCAAAAGTTTCATCCTTCACTTTTGTCAGTGACCCCAAGCAGGCTCCAGCAACTAATAGAATGAGATAATCCATCGCTTGTGTTTTCGCTTCCCGTAATCTTTGCTTACCCAGCCTGAGGTTAATGTATCAGAAAAAATCCAGGTGCAGGTCAGGATGTATTAATTACTTCAATTATAAATGGAATGTAATCCAATAACAGCGTATTAGATGGGAATGATCAAATTAAAAGTGGGACCAATTTATAGCAAATTGGGTGTAGATTAGGATTTAGATATCCAGATATAACAATACAATATCGACAATAATTCAAGCCTCTTCACTACATGAAAAAAAGCCCGAGTTCATATCACTTTTGTGTCCACACCTTGTATAGTTCTTGCCCTGTAGTACGAAACGCAAGTTGTTCACATAAACACTAGACTGAAACGCAAGTTGTACGCTGGGTGCTAAATTAATTGCATTCTAAATATTAAAGTCCATCAATATAATAAAATGAATCAACTCTTGAAACTGAGTTCTAACATGGGCTACTACTGTAAGAAAAATGCACATGCTACAAGAGTAATTTTCTTAGCTTTTGGTTTTTCTAATAAAATCGAAAAGACAGATTAATATAACATGAAAGTGATGTATAAGCAATTATGTACCTTCCGAGGAAGTATTTATACTGCAAGAGAATGTTCGGAGTTCTCCGATTGGAAAGGTCCTTTGGCCTCAAGAAATTGTGATGTAAAATATCATGATGGCGCTGCACATAGCACTTCATGTCTTGCCAAATTTCCCCAGCAAAAGAATGTTCCACATTGATACCACCATAGATGCTATGATCATTATGGGTAATATTTACTCCCACTGGAAAATTAGCATCTCTCTGCCCATTCTGTTGCATATCTGGAGGCACGGGATAGCCCTTATGAATCATCCATGACAAAGGAAGTTCATTGCAACTCATCTTTGATTTTAGTTTTGGGCTAATCAGGCCCTCCAGAACATCAATGTAGTAGTCTGGAGGATTAACACGCTCGGGAACATTGATCCCAAGACGTGCAAAGTACTCCTCAACCTTCTTAGCTGGGCCATGGTAAACTGTAAGACCTCCTTTTGCCAAAAGCATCAAATCATCAAACATCTTGAACAACGTGTAGCTGAAAAGTAAAGTGGCTATATGTTAAGTTATTTGTTGCCTTTTGCTCTCAAGTATTCCATATAGTCAATCAAAGAACTATGATAAGATAATTTGCAACTTAAAAACACTACACTGGTCCATGATATGATAAGTCTAGCATCTATTATAGATTTCAAATTTCAAGTAATTGTGAACTCCATAAGTGTGGGCTATATATTTTAGCAATTAATCATGTAAACCTGACAAAAAAATTGATATTTTTTACTGAAGAGTACATAAATCACAGCAATTGCTGAAGTTTATTACCTTGGTTGGTGGACAACCATACAAATGTTTACCCCTTCAAGCGATTCACGGCAGAGTGATCTGAGAAGTAATTGAGAAGATGCACTGTCTAATCCTGAAGTTGGCTCATCCAAAAACAGTAGGGATGGTTCAATTACCAACTCTAGCCCAACATTGACTCGTTTTCTCTGACCTCCAGAAATGCCTCGCTTCTCCACTGTGCCAACCAAGGAATTCCTTACTGCTTGTAAGCCCAATGAGTCAATGACCCTCTCAACAATCAGGACCTTGTCTGGCTTTGGCATGTCCGCCGACAGTCTTTATCAAATTTAAAAAGTTAAGACATCAAACTATAGGGGAAAAATAATATTGTAAGCGCAAAACAAACAAAGAAAAAAACATGAGTAGAGAAATATTATACAGTACTGCGTTGTACTTAAATATACAGAATAATTAGTCTAAGGAACACTTCCTGGCCCCAATATATAAATATAAATCTTATTGCATTACTCAAAAACCAATCCCTCCCTTTTGATAGGAAAGAGGGAGGAAAGGTTACCCTTAATATGGTCCTCCTCACCAGAATCCAAAGACCAAACACAAACAAGAGATGACAGAGAAATACATTGTAGAGTTACAAGTATGCGTGGGTGGTAGAAGACGTGGCTTGCTGGGCAGCCTTATTTATCAATCACTTTGATATGTTTAAATTTTACGGAATTAATCCAATGCGTGAAATCTAGATATATACTATAAGATCTTATTTAGAAATAAGTAGCACCACACACCTGCAATTAGCACTGAACCATAGATTTTCTTCGACTGTCAAATTTCCATGAACAATATCATCTTGTGGAACAAAACCAATAATTTTTCTGTACGAGTGAATTGAATCTGCCTTTCCATTTATAAGTATTGAACCGGTTAAGGTGCATCCAACAGTTTTTCCAGCCAAAGCCGAAAGAAAAGTAGTTTTTCCTGCTCCAGAAGGGCCCATGACTGCAGTAATACGCCCGGGCATGATTATCCCATGTATGGATCTCAAAAGATGCTTGTTTTTCCCTTTCAAAGTAACAGTTACATCTCTGAAAGCAATCTCAATTACTAGCCTTTTCTTGATTGCCTTATTTGTTGCCATGGATAGTACTCCTGAGAAGGTAAGATTTTTCTTCTTCTGCTGCTGGGCCTTCTCGTTCTCAAGCTGGGCATATGCATACTTGAACATTTGGCTATGTGTCTGAGCTTGTTTCCCTTTTGGTACCCTCCTATCAACATTTTTATCTTTGAACTCTGAATTTAAGGATTCAGAATTATCAAAACCAAAGTTTTTCATCATCTTCACAAGTGCACTAGGTTCGATTTCAGTTGAAGACGCAGATGTTCTTTTAGATTCTATATAATTGGATGCATGCTCATCACCATCTTGATCATTATCAGCTTCATTTAAAAATCTGACATCGTCACTAATTGTAACATCTTTCTTGCGAGAAGGTTTGAGTGAAACTTGAGAACGTAATTCAATTGCATGCTTTTTAGCAGCCTCCTTTGCAGATTTCCACCTTGCCCGTGCTCGTGCTCTAGCCTTTACACTTTTTGCTGCTGATTCCCTAAATCTAGTTTGTCTCCCTTCCCGAACAGTGATTATGTGGTCAGAGCAGTTGTATATTATAATGAGAACGGTAGATAAAGCAGCCTGCAGCAAAATGTCATATGAAAAAAGGATAATGATGGGAAGAGTATTCTGTGCAAATACCTAAAAGGCTAAAACTAAACAATCAAAGCTATTACTAAGTGCAAAGTAAGAACTACCCCCCAGGCCCCCACCCAACCAACATTAGATCTGGAAGACCAAAATCATCTTTCTTATAACAGTAAAATGGTGACATTTACACCAAGCACAAACATGTAGTATATAAACTGCAACACCATAGTGTCCCTACTGTTTTTGGAAAGCAAAAAAATTTAATCACAGATAGAGGAAGCTCACTATAAGAATCACTCCATATGCACGCATATTTTGACTTGAAGTGTTGGGATCACATGAAGTCAACTTGACGCATCCTGCATGTTCGTCAATAACATCAGAACCTCCACGAATTAGTCAATAACAAAGAAGAAATGTTAATCTAAAATGTATGGATTTGGTATAGGAAAATGAATTAATTAGTCACTTCGAGTGAATTACTGATCATTCTCACTAAGACTCAACTGACTTACGTTTCTCAGCTGTAGAGCCTGTAGGGCAGTAATTCCTGACAAGTGACAATTCAAGTTACACAAATAGCATCACCATAAGATATGGAGGAAAATATGTTGAAGTAAAAGCAAATAAACAAGACCAAGTATCACCCCGCTGCCCATTACTAAGGTTTACAGTCAAATAACTTATTATTACCAGCCTGATTAGTGAAATGTTTCTTTTCCAGTATCTAAAAACGGAATACAGACTGACACCCCTGAGAAGATTCAGATAGAAAACAATACCCACTACTGCAAGGAATCTTTTCAGTATTTGAGGGACAGTAGGATCCAGCTGAACAGAATATTTCTGAGCTATGTGCAACATCTGCCCAAATATTTGCCCCTCCACATGTATGATTCGACAGTCCATGGGGTAATTGATAATCATATCTGGAGTAACAAATCAATGAACATGTGACAAAATAAAAATGAAGTAATGAGAGAAAATGCACATTGTACAAAGCATCAAACTTACGGTTCACATACTCCAGTATCATTATTGAGTGTTGAAAGAGGGCAATAGGAACCCAAGGGACAAGCTTCAAAAATATTACAAAAGGTTTAGAGATTGTTAACTTCCATCAATAGTGAACGAGCATTCATTCAAACTTAAAAATCAATGTGTATATGTATGAGGAGAGTGGTTTCCTTCTAAAATCAAAAAGTAGAAAATATCAGACATGAATGGAAAATGACATTTTGAAAATGCATACGTGGTTAAATTAGCACATACTGTTAGGGTAATAACCCTACTGTATTGGGCCAACCCCTGGGATTCAAAATCGTTATCATCTCTTCTCCTTTTGTTGCTCTGTCCCCGATCAAGCAATGTATTGCTACTATGTGTGCTGGTGTTGTCTTTGTTTAGGTAATCAATCTGACACAAAATCTCCTCCCTGTCCGCATGAAGCAGTTCCCTTTGTTTCTCTAGCTTCAACCTTTGCACCTCGAGTTGTTTTATAGAACTATCCAACTCCACCCATTCTTTGTTCCTTTTCTCACGATCTGCAATGATCTCTTTCCTTTCGGAGGTTGTTTTATAGAACTGCTTCATGCTGACAGGGAGGAGATTTTGTGTCAGATTGATTACCTAAACAAAGACAACACCAGCACACACAGTAGCAATACATTGCTTGATCGGGGACAGAGCAACAAAAGGAGAAGAGATGATAACAATTTTGAATCTCCCCCACAAGATATTACAATGCATTGATGAACTAAACTAAAATGGCAGAATAAGCTTCCTTGCTTCTTATTTTCTACTCCGTATGAAGTTTTGGACAGTGAGTGCATCGATGCATCAAGGGTCTATTGCAAGGTGCCTCTCTGTTTTTTACAAGGGTAATGTTGCACACATCTTGACCCACAAGACCTGCAACAGATTTGTGAGGTCACTTGCTTAACGCGACATTAAGGCCAATGTCCACAAAAGAAGGGGCTATGACTAGGAATTTACTATTGGGTTTGATAACATGTCGAGTATTCAAGAAAAGGGAAGGGTGAGTTACTTGACTGTTGTGGTGCAAGGAAAAGTCATTGAAGAGTATAAAAATGAATTCATTAGCATTGGTAACAGGTAACATGTTAAAAGTTTCTGGTATACTTACGTATCATACACGTAATGCCTTGTGGACAAAAGAATCCCTCACAGCAAGGCTGACAGTCCATGGTTCTCCTAGGTATATCTTGCAAGTTTCTGGAGTCAGAGTTCTGGTTGGAGCCAGTGCTACAAGCCCATCCTGGCTCGCAACCAGGTACCCAAGATGTAAGATTACAGTTCATGTTAGGTTTTTGGTAACGCATCGAAGTCGTGAAGGTGCTACTAAGATAGGATCTTATTTCTCCTGCAGTACATAACCTCTGTTGTACATCTCCTGATAACAACATGAACATTCATAGAATTTCAGTTAGCAATTACACATAAAAAAAGACTGGCGTGTTTATCTAAAAATGGAAACGAACAAACACCTAGTCATAATAATGGATTAATGACAATCCACACATCCTAGTGCACACACCTAGTCCTAAACCTCCCCAATTTAACACATCCTAGCTGTTACATGTATCTTTCAATGGAATTATGAAAAACTGCAGCACCGATTTGTAGTATAAAAAAAAAAAACTCTAAGCAGCCAAGAGAACAATGGCAATGGCAATACTACCTTTAGTTCTGGCAACACAATCTCTCAGGAACTTCGAATTCAGACTAAAATTAAATGCATTATTCCAATCCTTCTCTCTGCATTTGGAACAAATTAATAAGCTTGAAATAAATACTCCCAAGTTTAGCATAAGCTCCAACATAAAACCACCTAATAAACTTTTGCAAAACTTACTTGTTTAAAACGCAGAAACTTGATTCCCCAGCAAGGTCACCAGAGAAAGCCTGGGAGGTCACATTGGCGATGCGGCGGTTGACTTCCTGAGCCACAAACTCCCGCACTGCCGGATTATCCACTTTTCCGGTGTCTACACCACCGCCCGAATCGTCTAGGTTCTGACAGAGAGCGAAGTCCAGTACTAAGAACGCGGAGACGAAAATGGCGAGAAAGGCGGATGCGGACGGCGGCCGTGGCGTCTTCCACCGCCATAGCCCTTCCATCGCTGCTGCGCTCAACTATGATGAGCTTCATCGGTGGGCTTAGGGTAATATATAGCCGGAGAAGAAAGGAAATCATGGCGTGAATAAAGCAATCGAAAGTCGCAACAATGGAGCTTGAGGTGGGACCCATTATGACCCCCACTTAATCGTCGTCATATAATAACTGAAATAACGTTGCCTGCAAGGCGGCTACCTTTGTACTCAGTCCACTGTACAGACATTCCACTGGTCGCAAATCGCAATGGGCTAACGGAAAAAGTAAAGCTGAGCTTGAGAAACTAAATTAGAGAGAACTTTCTATTAAACAAAAATACTAAAAATACCAAAATAGAAGTCATAAGTTTTTTATGATTAAAATAAAAGTTTATATTATCATTGTTATATTGTCTCACTCATCATATTGTCATATTGTAACTACCACACTGTCATTTGTTACAACCGGTCACCCGAGTGCTGTTGCAGAATCACCGATCATAAGATATTTTAAACTGTCATCGATCATTTTTTCATCATATTGTAAACGCGCACTCTTACAACACATTGTCATTTTACTCTCATTTTGGTCTTAAAAGATTTAGAACTCCCATTTTTATATTTTCATACTTTTTTTTCCTTATCCAAGAAGATTTCTTTATTTACAAATTATCTCAAATAAGATTAAAACATAATATTAATTTTAAGAATAAAAGTTCCATATTTTTATCTAAAATAAGAGTTTGCACCGTGATATTATGACACTATATAATAGCATCTCATTGTTTTTTAGTACTGAATATATTTATATTATTGCCATTGTACTCATATTTTGGAATAAATGATATGAAGTTCTTATTTTGGTACCTTTTCAATGCTTTACTCTTAGTTTGATCATTTTTCCTTATTTTTTGGGATAAAGAAACATAGAATAAGAGGGTGTTTCTCTATCCTGATGCTTATTGACTTATTGTTTATAAAAAAATTTAATTTAAAAACTGCTTATAAGTTAAATATTCTCTCGTGTAGATTAGATGACTTAAATGATATATAAGTCAGGTGGGGATATTCATAATAGGTGATGGATAGCTTTTTAATAATCTATCTGGTCAAGACGAAGAAACAAAAACATTGGCTTAAAAATAAGTAGGTAAGACCTACTTATTTTTTCTAGCTTATAAGCAGCTTTTAAGTTAGATTATAAGCACAGAGGAACATGTCATCAGCTGACTTATAATTTAAAAACAACTTATAAGCACATAAAAACACTTATTAAGTCTACTTGTATAGTTGTACCCCAAAATATACTTCAAAGGTGTATACTTACACTTTGTGTCAATGTAAGTGTGGGATTGATGACTTACATTGTCAAAAAATATCAATACTAAATTTTGTGATCGCACTAACATTTTGTGTTAATGTAATCTATTAAAATGTAAGTGTAAACCTATGAATATGTTTTCGAATACAATATATTTTATTACGCCGCCTTGGGGATCACGGCTACATGCACGGCTCCAGAAGAAAGTTGGTCTCCTATTTTGATTAGGTTCCCTTTAGCATCTTTGTTTCCTTACTTGTGAGAATTCTTTTCCTATTAGGTTTAGGTTATTTCTCCCTCCTATATATTGATGGGAAGTCTCTTGTAAAAACACAACACACAGAAGAATAAAATCATTGTTTTACTTCCATCCGTACACACACGGTTTCACATGGTATCAGAGCAACGATCGACGCCATGACCGAAACACCCAAAACAGATTCGACGCCGCCCAAGAAGATGGATGTCAACGATGATCAAAAGGGCGTAAAGCCTAGCCCGTACGACATGTAATCAGTGGACACTCCTGGCTTGTTAATCACGCAAGTCAAATTGACTGGAAGAAACTACGAAGAATGGTCGAGAGCCATGCGAATCGCTCTACGTGCCAAGAGGAAATTTGGTTTCATCGATGGTTCCATACCCTGTCCAGACGATGACGCCGAGGAGGTGGAAGAGTGGTGGATCGTGAACGCCATGCTTGTTTCATGGATCTACAACACAATTGAAACAGATTTCCGGAATTCTATAACGCAGGTTGAAGTTGCTGCCGATTTGTGGAATGACATCAAAGCGAGATTTTCTGTGGCGAATGGTCCATGGGTTCATCAATTAAAGATGGAGCTTGCGAACACCAAACAAAACGGTCAAGAGATCGTCAAACATTATGGGAAACTAAAGGCAATTTGGGACGAGCTCTACGACATGTTGAAGGTGCCGACTTGCAAGTGTGGAGGATGCAAGTGCGGACTCACCGCTCAATTGGAGAAACAACGCGACGAAGAGAAGGTGCATCAGTTTTTGATGGGTCTGGATAATGAGGGCTATGGCAGCCTACGCTCAAACATTCTCAGCACTGAGCCTCTGCCCACAATTAATCGAGTGTACTCAATTATTACACAACAGGAGGGAGTACTAAAAGTGACGACAGAAGAGGATCGCAATCCCGTGGGGTTTGCTGTGGCCACCGGAAAACCGACTCGAGATAACACTCTCAAATGCAAACATTGTGGACAATTGGGGCATGAGATAAGCGGATGCTTCAAAATCATAGGCTATCCAGAGTGGTGGGCTGACCGCTCACGGCTGCAAGGAGGAGGTCGTGGTGGCGGACGCACTGGTGGGGCAACACAGGATGGCAGAGGAGGTGGCAGGGGCCGCGGCACAGCAGGACGTGGCAATAGCTACCGGACAGCCGATAGAATCGAGCAGAGAGACAAGCGAACCGATGGGCAATTTGCTGGACAGGCTGAAGTGCAGTGTAAAAACCAATTCTCAGGTACGAAAATTGGTTCTTGGATAATAGACAGTGGTGCTAGCCAACACATGACTGGGGACAGAAGCAAATTGACAAACATCCGGTGTGTAAAAGAGTGCAGAGTCGGCCTTCCCAATGGTGAAAGCCCGACAGCCGTGCAAGCAGGGGATATCCTCCTGAACAAATATCTGAGATTAACTGATGTGTTGCTAGTCCCCAAACTCAACTGCAACTTGATTTCTGTCTCTCAACTTCTTGGAAAAGAACGAATGATTGTCCAGTTCACTAACAAACTTTGTTTGATACAGGATTGTACCTCGAAGATGGTGATTGAAACGGGTGAACAAGCTGGTGGTCTCTACTACTTTGCCGAAGGAATGTGTGACAAAGCATATGCTGTGCGGGCGACAAAGGATCTTGCCGTCTGGCATCAGCGACTTGGTCATCCCTCTCCAGAGATTTGTCGTTTCCTTCCTTTTTGTTCTTCTTATAAAGATGTTTCCTTACCTTGTGATGTATGCCTTCGTGCAAAACAGTGTCGTGACTCTTTTCCTACAAGTTTGAATAAATCTGATACTCCTTTTAAATTAATACACTGTGATCTTTGGGGGGGGGGGGTACCGTACGCCTTCTCGTACTGGGGCAAAATATTTCCTCACAATTGTTGATGATTTTTCCCGAGCTACCTGGGTATATCTTTTAAATCACAAAGATGAAACACCAACCATCTTGCACAATTTTTTCTCGTTTATTCACCGTCAATTCAATGCTCAAATAAAAACGTTCCGAAGTGACAAGGAAACGGAGTTCACGTGCATGAAACCCTACTTTACCTCTCAAGGCATCATTTTTGAGTCTTCTTGTGTTGGCACTCCTCAACAAAACGGGAGAGTCGAACGCAAGCATCGCCATATTCTCAACATTGCGCGTGCACTCCGATTCCAAGCCAACCTTCCTATTTCATATTGGGGTGACTGCATTCTCACTGCAGCTTATCTTATCAATCGCACTCCTACTCCTCTTCTCAATGGGAAAACCCCGTATGCCATCCTATTCGATCAAGAACCGTCTTATGCTCATATCCACACTTTTGGGTGCCTTGCCTACGCCCACAACCAATTGACTCAGGGGGATAAATTTGCAAGTCGCTCGCGTCGTTGCCTTTTTCTCGGGTATCCTTTCGGGCAAAAGGGATGGCGCTTGCAAGATTTGGAAACAAACAAAATTTTCGTCAGTCGGGATGTGAAATTTGTTGAAGATTCTTTTCCCTTTTCACCGTCACACCAACCCTCGTTTCCTACTGCCCCATCGGCGGATGACTTCGTCGATGACGAACCGTCCGTCGTTCCCAATCCTTCTCCCCAACCTCTTGATTTGCAGTATAGAATGGGCAAAAATAACAACTAAAAAGAATCCCTTGTAAGTAGGGTGTCGAACCTCAGGGAAACGTGAGTTAATTTAATTTAAACAAAAGTTTACAAAAGAAGTTGTAAAATATTTTGGTCTTTTTGGTTTTAAAGATAAAATAAAAAGTGTAAAAGAAGAGAGTTCCAAACAACACAAAGTTTTTGATGATAAAAAGTTAGGGGTAGAAATTGGTAAATTAATTGTCCAATGTTTTTATAAAAGTTGGATTGTCAATTTATTTTTATATAGAATGTGTGGAGTTGCAGAAAAGTATTCAGGGACGCTCTTGCAGTTCACCTAAATAATAACTACTCCGACTTTAACACGCTAATGATAAATCCGGAGTAATTATTTAGTAGCAACGGCAACCATAATTATTTTATTGTATGTTTACCCAATTTAATGGTGTAA